GTGTTAAAACACTTGAGGTAATGGGGTGAATCACAGGAAGGAGGCAGGAAAGAGGAAACAAACTGTGAGAGCTGTGTGCCACCCAGTCTAATTCTTGCTTTCAGCTACTTCACGTAATGATGTGTCCTAATCCCTCTGTGTATTTGGAAGGATCCTTAAATATAATGGCCTATTTCAAAATACAAAAAAACTCATTTCCAAAATGGATTTTTTTCTACATGTCTGACATTTTTGTCTAAGAACCTTACACTTGTGCCGCTGCATTTCAAATACATGTTGAATATTTTGGGGGACTATTTTTATTCTGCTGGGCATTCAGGACATTCTTGATATTTATAGTTTACTAATTTATTTCCTCATGTATGCTCACTATGCTTATGGCATGCAGCATTTATTTTGAATCTTGATAACACCCACCTAGAAATTACTCAACAGGTGCCATCCTGATCAGTAACTTCTTCTCTGAATGAAGTTAAATATAGTATTCAGCAAGTTCACAAACTAAGTTTTGTCTTTAAGATGATATTAATCAAAAGCTCCCTAACAAAGTATAGCTATGGCCTTGAAACAGCATAAATATGAGTCAAGGTATTTCAATAGTGAAACTAGTATATTGTTGAAAGGACAAGTTCATGTTTTTATAAGTATATGAGATTCAGACTACCTTTGAAATATATATATATATATGCAAAATACCACTCTTGCAAAGAAATATTTATATCTATGAATTTTATTTACCCATTATAAATTACTATAGTACATATATAGTATTTACCTTGATTTTTATAAGAAAACTATTAGAAAATTATATGGAATATGACCCAGTGAACCCCTGCTAGGCATCTTCTCAAAGAGCATAAGACATCATAGGATAGTGATCAATACATCCCAATGTTTATAGCAGCACAACTCATAATAGCTAAATCCTGGATATGTATGCAGCCTGTATACATATCAACAGAAGGTTAGATTTTAAAACATTGTGTCTATATATAATGTAATATGATTCTTCCAGAAAGAATGACAGGTGTGATACATTTGTAGAAAAATGGATGCACCTGGAAAATATAATGTTGAGTGGAATAAGACAGACACATGAGCTTAAATGCTATATGATATCCCTCATTTGAGTAAGGCAAAGTATAAAGAGAATTAAAAAGGTTGAATAGAAGGGGACTGGGAGATGGATCTCTTCCAAGGGAAAAAGTGTGATGGAGGAGGAAGAGGAGGAGGGGAAGGGGAAATAAGTAAAGATGTTCTATGTCCAGGAACCTAATAACATTAATTAATTCAAACATTATATGCCATACCTTGAGCTAAGATTAATAATATCAACCAGAATGAAAAATGCGGAGGAGGGAGAGAGGGGCAAAAAAGAGGAAGGAAGTTTAAGAAAAAGAAATATGCTGTGGTATGAGCATGTACCCACTCTCCAAGATGACTGTAAACTCCATGAATTGCAAACACATCCTCATAACATAAAAAAGAAATGAAAGAAAATTACACGGAAAAGACCAAGCTAGCATTGTCTAATATTCCAAAATCAGTGACATTAGCTTGAATCCCTTTAAGTTTTGCTTGATCTACTTCAAATACTGCATTTTCATCCAATCATGTCCGCTATGGCATGGTGGAAAAGAAATGTGTCCCATTTTTCCCAGCAGTAAATCTGTCACTTGGACTTCAAGATACCCTTCTCTATCACTTTCTTTAGGACTTCACATTAGCACTCACCTCCCACACCTCCCGCTACTGATCCCTGCTCTGTAACTTCCTCCCTTGAAAAAACTGTCTTCAGCATTGCCTTGCTTTTTAACCATGTGGTTATTCTTTTTTTTTTTTTTAAACTAGACATTCCTAGAAAAATGATTCATGACAACCCCACACTTGTCTTTATTTATTAAGAAATTATTGTTGGACAGAGATTTTTACATCAGTGTCTAATTACCAGAATTCACTTCCTCATTCTAATATACCATCTAGTTGGCTAAGTAGTATTTGAAAGCACCTGAGACATTTAATTCATTTATTTGTTCTATTTCTCTGGGTTAGTGCATATACCATGGCTTCACCCGCAATATTTATATTGACCTCAAGGATTGACAATGTGCATATATGATCCACTCTCTTAATAATGCTCTCATTCTCTCAGCATCACTGTTTTTTTCTGACTCTTGCAGTTTTGTCTACCAGATAAATATTGATAGACCACAAAATATCCTCGGCTTTCTACACTGTTGACTTTTCATAGGCATCCTACAAGATCTCATCCTTGTCTATGGCTTCAACAAATACCTATGTACTAGGTACAGTCTGACTAATATCTTTCTCTGACCTTTAGCAATTGATACTCAATTACCTAAAGTTACATCCCACACAATGAGCTACAACAAACTCTACATGTCAAAATGTGAATGCCTCCCCTTCCTCCAATGCTTAGCCCTTTTCTCCCACAAAAATACTTCAAATAATAAATGATAACCACTAGTTCATTAAGACCCCAAAATTGGGGAGTATGTTAAATCCCCTATACCCTGCATCGCCCACATTTGATTAGAGGCTATCCATCTGCAACCCTCAGGAAGCACCTAGGATAATTTTTAAAATATTTATATCAGATCATGCAACATCCCAAATTTAAAATATTCCAGTTTCTTCAGGTGATATCAAATGCCATAGTATCCACTCTTACATACATACACTCTTACATGGTGAAAATAATTCAAAGACCAGGGCTAGCATTCTTTGCAACCAATGCAGATCCTGCTGGGGTTACACAATTAGGAAACACACCATCCTGTTTAGAGTGGGTACATGAAATTCATAAGCTTAGTCAGCCTATAATAATTCTCTTTACTTTTTTTTTCTCAATTGCAGTCCAGAATTTGTATTCATTAATTTGATAGAGTCAATGTAAATTCTTTTGAATAGATGCCAAAAAATGTTACATTTACTTCATAAGCATTCTTCTGAATCAACATGATGGTCATGCCAATTTCAGATTCCAGTTCAACCACAGCAGAAGAAAAAGAATCTGAGTTGTTATGCAAATTTTAATGGGACTCCAACCACTGTAATGCTTTTTGTCTGTAAAAATAATCACCTGTTTCATAACAATTGCATTTTTTAGGCTTTGATTTTTAGGGTTTTCTTTATCACAAGCAGGAATACCAAGACAACCTCCATAGCACCAGTTACTTGGATACTGGAGGGGACTAAGAAGCATCACAAAACTGGTAGAGCTGTAGAGTCTCTAGGTATAGACGTTTCAGGTAAATATCTAAGGACTGCATCTTTATACAGTAGTGAACTTTATAGACTATTGTTTTCTTTTAATTTATCTATTTATTTTTCCTAGCATTGAGTATAAACTTACCTGCTCATTAGATTCTTTGTAATCAGAATAAAATTGGAATGATGGAATAAGTGAGCATTTTGCAATTTAAAATAGCTCCTGAAGGTCAAAATAATGAAAGTGAAATCAACAGTGTTAAAATATGATTTCAGATTCCATAGAGCTTTTCAATATAAAGCCCCAAAGAATATTTCAACAAGTATTAATGCATGCATGTGTTCTTTGGAAGCAATGCTTTTTCTTTACAACAATGCTGTTTTGCATTTGTATATTAGTTTAAATAGTAAAGAATGCTATACACACATCTCATTAAAGCAAACTAACCAGGGTTTAATTCTTAGATGAGAAAGCCAAGACTCAGAGAGGTTACATGTTTTCCAACTTCCCAGCTATTATTGTAGCAAGGTCTGAGCACATTTCACTATAGTTTGCTCTCAGTAAAACTTTAGAAAACAACTGTAATTAATTTCCACACAGTCATGTTTATGCCCAGGGTAATTGGATCAGGAATTTTCCTTAAAACTGAAGTACTTTATAGAGAAACTTTCTTCCATAAAGATTTTTTTTTCATAACAGCTACAGAGAGTTCATGACATTTTTATACGACTTTGTAGTGCTTCTTTGAAAAACACAGTCATGGTAATTAATCATTTTTTAATAATAATTGTTTCATTATTTGGGATTTTAGTTTTTGACATTAAGTAGGCCAGCAAGCTTAGTACATATGCTACAGAAGCAAGCACTGGTCAGCAAGTTTAAAAAGTGAATAAGTTTCTTCTTCCTTCCAAGGTTGTGACCAGATTTCACTAAGTACGTTCAGGATGCTTATATGGTGATAAAAGCTTTGGGGAAGCCTCATCTTGTATTTGGCTATGATTCATGATTATATTTTCTTCATAATGTCAATTTTGGCTATCATTCACGGTTATATTTGTTTGATATAATTTCAGTTAAGGTATTTTCTCTTTCAGCTTGTCTGTCTTATAAAATTAAGGTTGTAGCTATTTAATTAAAGCAGTGATTTTTATCGAAGTAGTTAAACAGTATATTTTTATTGTAAAATTTTAAGCATTACTAGATGATAAAGATAAGATATAGCCTGGAAGAGACAGACCTCTCAAACGAGGGTTTTCTGGAAAAGACATGAGTCATCTGAAAATCACTCACTGCTTAACAAATTTAGAGCAGCATGCCTTTAGAACTATTTCCACAATGTTGAAGAGCCCATGTGCTTACATTGGACTCGTTAGGAACAAAGAAAACACTATTCATATATTTTTAAAATGTGTATGGCAAGTTCTGTTCTTCAAAACAGTTGTTCACATAAAAAGGCACCACTTAAAATTGGAAATGAGATTTATGGCCACAAAGATCAGTGTTCACAATTAAATTATCCAGCATAACAGAACAACAAAAAAGTCAAGGATCTAAAAGTAAACCTAGACATATGTTATATAGGAATCATATTTATTCAACTGAATTGATGCTATCACATGTATAAACTGTAATCTTAGAAATACATATGACAGGATGGGATCAAATGGCTTCTTAAGGCATGCAGAAAATTTTCAAATCCATTTACAAATGTAGTTAATTCTGGAAATGATGATAAGCAGTATATATTGAGAATAAATATGAATCTTACCATCTGAGAATGACTTCTAGGACATCCATTGATATCTTCAACTTTTTCATTTGCTAAAGCCAAGAAATAAAATAAAAGAGAGAAAAAAAGAACAACATGCTTAAGCAATGAAGTGAAACACACAGAAAAAAAGACTTAAAAAAAAAAACCAAAAGATAAAATGCTGCTGCTACATTTGCTCAATCTCCCAAGCCATGTACAAGAGAACACACTTATTAGCAGCGGCCAATTCTATGCGCACAAATCAAGCAAAAAAAAAAAAAAAAAGAAAAGTGAATGGAGAAGGAAGTTGCTGCTAATTTTTTAGCTTGTGCCAAATGACTGCTGACGTGAAACCTCTCACAATTGTCCCTGCTGGATCAGGATACAGTTTCAAGGAGTCACAGACTATATGAGTTGTTCCAGCGAATGAAATGCACACATGGGGGACATATGGTTTAATGAAGCGTTCATTTTTGACAATTCAGTGTATGTAAAGATACAGCTCTAGCTACTTAAAAGCATGGCCAAACTGTCTTTTTCAAACATCCTCACATAAACATGTTTAATTAAATCAGGGGAGATCTACATTAATCTCCACGATTTATGGAACAATTTGGTATGCATTCAATTTAAGTTGTAATTTACCAAAAGGGTTAGGAGCAAGAGCAAGGCTCTAGCGCTTGCTCTGAGAAGGCAGATCTTACCGATGATCTGGATGATTTCTGCTAGCAGCACTCCATCTGCAATGTCCTGTTGCAAATCCTTGATCAGCCGCTTGTGGCCCGATTTTGCTAGGTAGTGGTTGGCCCAGTCAGTGTAAATCTGTTGAACAGAGGGGGAAGAAGTAAAATGGGTGAGGCCAGAGAGAGATAATAAAAATGCTTAGGACAAATGTGGAATTCAAAGGGGAGCTATTCTGGATCACATTCCAGTTTCAGAAGTCATAGCTCAGAAGGAAATAGTTTTTCAGTAATTTTTAAACAGCTCTTTCCCCCACTTATCTCTTGTTTCAAAGGAATATGATTCACTCTTTCAAAATCATGGACTAGTCACTTGTGACAAAGCAAAACTCCCTCTGCAACTGGGACTGAGGCACCTTTTATTACAAATCACTTTGAGTTTCTGTCTTCCTTTCATATCATTCTGAAAATAATCCTTGCTGTCCATGTAAAAGGAAACCACCTGGACTGATTTATAGAGGAACTTTATAAAAAAACTTCTTTATATTAGAAGATTTTATTATGTTTGTCATATGAGATACTATATGTGACAATATTTTGGCATCACTTTATGAAATAATTGCAAATGCCTTCCTGTGTAAGATATTTTGTTTGGACTGTCATTTCTCATTTAAGACTCTTGAAATGTGTTTATATTAGAAAGCATAGGCAGCAAATGAAGTTAGAACACACAAATTACAATATAGAACTGAGAACTGGTTTGCAAGCCGCAAGGTTGGCAATTTGACACAGAGTAGAGGTGACTCTTCAGCAATAGAAAACGTTATTAAGAAATACTAAAACTGTTCAAAATCTCACAAAAATAAATGTTGCTAAGTTTTACCTGTTAATGTAATCTAATGTAATGAGCAAGAAATAAGCATACAGACATTTTGGTTTCAGAGATGACTGATATACATTATTTATAAGTTTATTTCAAGGCAGGGTATAATCTGATGTAGTAGAAAAAAATGAAAAATTTGAAATGAGAATAGGAAAGGGAAATAAACACCAAATAGACACACAATGTGGTGTTTATACACAATGGGGTATTATTCTGCTATAAAAAAGGATGTATTTGATTCATTGGTAGGAAAATGGATGCAACTTGAGACCATGATGTGAAGTGAAATAAATCAAAGTAACTTAAACATCACATCAAAAGATTAAATCAAAATCTTAAACCAAAAGCTTAAATATCACATGTGTTCTCTTATATGAGAAATTCAAAGTTTAAATAGAGAGCAAAATTAAAGATAGGAAACAGGGAGACCTATCTTTTGCTAACTGGGAAGGGCATTAAGACATGGAGGAAGATCTAGGAGTTTTCCATGGTGAATATAATAGTTATGCACTATGAATGTGAATGAATAAAAATAAACTTTTAAACATGTGGTCTTAAGTGGAAATAGAACTGGGAACATAAGGAAACCTGAACACGCAATGTGAAGGAAAGGGCTTCTACACACAGAGTCTGTCACATGGAAGGACAGAGACAAATAAGCACAGGACACAATTGTGAAATCTGTAGTGGAGGCAGAATGGGGCAAATTGAGACAAATAAAGCTGCAAAGGCAGCTTGTTATAACTGAGAGCAACGAAACTCAAGGAAATTATAGAAAGCATCTTCAGATTTTATAAAACAAACACATTTTAGTAAAAAATAAGCAAATCATACATGCAGAAACTAATGAATAAAGTTTCTGTAGAACTTGAAGCTCCTGACGTGTGTGTGTGTGTGTGTGTGTGTGTGTGTGTGTGTGTAGTACTCGGGATGTGGGGATGAGACTCAGGACCTTCACAATGATAAATCCCTCCCCTACACCCTGTTTATTTTGAGATGGAGTCTTGGTTGATTCACCAATGGCCTAAACTGGACATGAACTTGGGATCCTTCTGCTTCAGCCTCGCAAAGTGCTGGGATTACAGTGTGGCTTACAATGCTTTGAAAATTTTTAAATAATTTGGTATGAAAAGTTCTAGAGTTGATATTCCCTGCCACATACCTCACCATACATAGCAAATAAACATACTCTGTGAGATTTTTACACAAAGTTGGCTCATAGTATGCATCTTATTGTGCAATTTCAATTTTTTATATAACAACGTTTTAACAGCACTCCCACAAGACAGTTCAGGTGTATTTATCTTACTCATTTGTTTTAATATTGTACACAAAAATCAATCCCCTGGTTGAAAGATATCGGATAAATTTTTAATATGTTTTAACTATACATAAACATTTAAGACACATCCATTAATATCTACATCAAAAGCTCTATATAAATGCTGGTATTTACATGCTAGTATTTTTATAATAAGAAAGCCTAGAAATAAGATTTTTTTGGACTGGATCTGAAAAATAAACATATTAAATAACAAGATGAAGAAAAGGACTGTCTTGAAAAATATAAATTGGCATTCAATGCATATCCAGTGATGATTAAGGTTTCTGAAAGATGTAAGTGGACATTCTCTTCTTAGCTATATATCATATGATAGATTGCATAGTTTGCCTTTCTAGAGAAACTTTGAGTTAAGTGAGGTTTGAATTGTGCCTATCTCTCCATAGGCATATGCCACTTTCTCATGGTTTCACTTTAAAGAATCCACAAGTGTGTGTGTGTGTGTGTGTGTGTGTGTGTGTGTGTGTATGTGTGTGTAATAGAGAGAGAGAGAGAGAGAGAGAGAGAGGGAGAGGGAGAGACTTTTCCCATCAGATCTGTCTTTAAGGTCCTATACACCACATCCTATCACTAGAACATTGGGTAACACATTTAAAGTTCTAATAGAATCCCCCTTGTCTGTAATATAGCATTGGCAGTAATATTTAAATTACAGGATTGTATCAGGACTATTTAAGATAGCACTTATGAAGTATCTGTCAGAGTTAATTCTGAAAAGAAGTCCCTGCTCTCATTATTGTTATTGTAACATCTAGTTTTACCTTGCTATTATAGCTTTCCAATAGATACTTGGTTATTATTCCGCAAAGGTTTTAAAAACGTAACATTTTTTTAAATGCACTATTTGTTTCTGATGGTCTTATCTCTGACTCCTGTCTTCTAATTTACAAGGGGCACAAATTGGTTTATCATTTTAGTCTCAGGAAAATTTATGTAAGGTTAAGTCTGCTATGTTCTAATTCAGTCCTGTTAAGTTTGTATTGAGGCACTACCTCCACCAGGCTATCTTGCATGGATTTTGTTTTATGAAGGTACTAAACTATGGAAAATATTTATTTAAATAACGTGATGGAAAATATCAATAATGAAAGCAATATATGTCCTAATGCATGTTCATAGTGCCTGAGATGTCAGCCTTTCAGGAACTTAGGTCAGAAAACAGATGGAAAAGTATTCAGTTGGCTTTAAGATCTTATTGGGAAAACCTGTGACTTAACACACATAGCATTTTTACCAAGTCCAGGATTTCTTCCACAACAATACAACACACTTAAGGGCTTTGACTTGTCAGCTGATCTGACATTTTATGCAGATTGTAACTCAAATTTTTTTGCAACTAGAGAAATCAGTGACAAGTGAATTGAAAGCAAATTTCCATAAGTCTCATGTACTTTTTCATACGTATCTTTTCTAACATGTGTATCTTTTATAAGTAAAAGATACTTAAGATCCTTCAAGAAGATCACAAGAAAAAGGAAAGCATTACCATCCAAAAGCATGTCATAATCTATTTGTCAGAGCGTAAAACAAATGTGTAGACATATTTGAAATTATTTTATATATCCTGTACAAAAACTATATTTCCCTGTCCTCTTAAATTTTATATGTGTAAGCTGAAGAAAACAGTGGAAAAAATAACTGTGTTTTTAATGAGACACTGTTCAAGCAAAGGACACATGTTACATAAAAGCATTTAAAATTTATCAATAAACTTTCTATAATGCTTTAGTGAGGGAGGATACCAGTAGCCTGCTCAAATTTATGGGGAACTTTTGTTCAAATAAACACAAAAGAATGGTGAAATTATGTCCTGGTTTGGGTTTTGAATTGTAAAGTTGCCCTTAGTATACACACACACACACACACACACACACACACACACACACGTACACCCCCAATGAAAGCATTTAACCACTTACTAGTCCAATTATTTAAATACAACAGTACCAAAATTTGCATATATTTTTCATTACTTTTTATAAGATATGACAGGGAATACAAAAACAACTTTTTTATCAAATATATTCAATACAAGAATTGACTGCTGAAATGATATCTTACCCACTGACACATGGGATACTTAGGACATAAACACACTGCCCAAATGATACTTGGGTAAACTGTTAAGTGGTTAACCTCTTAACTTTAATTGAATGAGCTACAAATTGTGTGATTATATGTTTTGTAGGATTATGCTAGGAATTAATTATAAGATTCTTAGTGAAAAATTTTGTATCTTTGAGAGAAATATTCATCACAATTTCATGTTGGGTAATTTCTGTAAGAGTCATTGAGGATGTTAATAACCAAGATTCTGGCCCAGGCTTCAAACAAGATTTACCTCTAAACATCCAAAGCCAGTTTTCTCCAGTGATTTTGATTAACTGTAATGTTTTAAACATGAATGTTATCCCATTTTAGAAATGTATTTCAAAAAATGTGGGAGAATTATCAGTCATACATTTACCAAAAGACTGCTTGTAGATTCTAGTATAACTATATGTATAATAATTCATTCAAATAATTAAAAATTAAAGACATCAAAAGTGACATAACATATTTTACATTTCATACTCATTAGCATGAATTTTAGGGCCTATTACACAACTGTCTATATTGTGGGGGAACATTCTGTATAATTAAATTTCTATTCTACCATTTAGTATCCAGGTGGAAACTGATTGAACATTTTATTTTATCTCAATGCCGATTTCCTCATCCGTAAAATGGCAATAATATTACCTCTGAATAACATTAATTCCAAATGTTGAATTTGTACTTTGAACATGGTATTTAACTAACTGCATTTGTTATATAGTAAATAATATCACTAGTACATTGGGGGGTTTTTTGGAACTTTTTTTATTTTTTATTTTTATTTTAAAGAGAAAAAAACCAGTAACAAAATAACAACAAA